TCCTTTAACCACTCTCCAAGGCTCTTCCTTATTGTCCTTTATAGGGATCTCCCCCTTATCATTAGGCAATCATCCTCCTTCCATTTTCTTCCCTTTTCTACAATCCTCATCACTATGTCCATGTTTCAAACAAATAGAACAATACCTCCCTTCCTTTTCATAACAAATTCTCTGCCATCTCCCAGACGAATCTCCCATATCTAACCAGAATCTTTTAGGATTATTCTCTAGAAGATTAACTTCTACACAAGCCCTCGCTACCTCAAGACGTGTTAACTACAAAGTCGAATTGTCGATCACCAAGATCCTTCCTACTAGACTCAAAATATCCCTCAGACTATCATGATTAAAAAGATGAATGGGCAACCCAAGAAGGGACACCCATACAGGAATTACAGAAGGCTCAACACCAGGTTGAAATTCAGGGAACCATTTGAAAAACCTAAACAAGAATCCTTCGATATAAGTGGCATCTTTTAGCCAAGTCTTCACGTAATCCTCATAGAGTGAAAACCTAATCAACACATGCCGATGATCCAGAATTCCCACTGTAAATTCCCCTTTCAGTATCCACCGAGTAGTAATAAATTCTCAATTTACTCCTAGGGAAGGTTTCCCATAGGCACATTTGTCAATTAGGGTCTGACCAAATATCTTCGATAACTAAACCCNTTCCCATAGGCACATTTGTCAATTAGGGTCTGACCAAATATCTTCGATAACTAAACCCTAAACCCCAAACCCCAAGCCTTGAACCTCAAACCCCTAGACCTTCAACCGCTAGATTTTTTGGTTCCTTGTACGATTTGGTTGTAAAATTTTATTGGCAGGGCTTGGCATACTGGTAGGGAAAGATTAGTTGTTGTGGGCTGACAAGAATGACAATTGTTAACTATGTGGAAGGTTAAGAGTGATTGTTGGCTGACTTATACAGCGGTTACTCGAAAACAACTGCTCCAACCATGCAAGGGATTTCTAATTTGTTCAGTAGTATGGTGGTTTACAGGAAAATCACCCCAAACATTTGAGGCCGAATCTGATTGGTGTCAACACGTCCTAGCAATTGGGAATGTCAACTGCATTGGTTGATTTAACCAACGCTGGAGATAGCATTACCTAGGCAGTTGACTTGTAATTGCAATTGTAGGTTTAAATATTGATACTAGGTTCTGTAGTACCCTAAGAAAAAATTTGGGGTGTTTTTTAAAGGCCTTTAGTTAGAATCCTTGTACTTGCTGAGAAGTAAAAAATTGGCACATTGTCCTACAAACTTGTGTCTACTTTGTGTTTGATATATTGTTTTTGCGAGCATTGTATGTGTTTGGTTCATACTAAGTATAAGATCTCAGTGTCATCACAAGGCAAGGTTCATTATGATATCTTTAAGGGCAACAATATTTTTGCCCACTCAATATACATCTGTTGTTGTGACATTTGTAGCTACAATAAAAATCTTTTCGCTCAATTCAATTTCTGGTAGGAAATTTTTTCTTCAATATTTTATTCTTCTCGTTCTTGTTGTATTTGTTTGGTTTTGTGTGCCACAATATTTTTCTAACCAACAATTAGGTGTTTGGCTCACCTTTTCATCCTTAAATCGTAAAATACCAAAATTTGTCACCAAAATATACTAACTATGATCTCTTTTTTAGATGGTTAGTTTTTGTTTTCAATAGGACCCAAATTTTACGGTAAATCTAGTCTCGATGTGAAGGTTGAATGAGCTACAACGTTTATTCATTAAAGTTGTTTCTAGTCTATCTATTTTAAAATAGGGTTCAAAGTGAGAGATCAGAATTAGGGTGAAGCTGTGAAAAATTATTGTCAGATCTTGAAGAAAAGAAATGAAGACTTTATTTGTATAATATTAGCAATAAAAGCATATGGCTTGCATAAACGGTCACTAACATTATAGGCCTGCGCATACCAACTATTATTGTTATCATTATTCTCTGATTTTTGACATCATTAAATACATTTAATGCTTTCCTTATTTTCTGGGCAGATTATGAAGTCTAGCTAAGAGCAGACAGCCTGTGAGATTGTTGAGCAATGATTGCAGCACTTGAAGGGCTCTGTTCCAAGACAACCTCATAACCATCGCTAAAGTTGTCCATTCCTTGGGCCATGAGTTGCCAAAACAGCTCACCAGCACATGGGCCGTCACTTGTTCTTGCACAACTGTAGATTGTGTTATATATGTTCCCAAAATAGGAGTCCCTCGCACCCACACTGTACCCAGCTGACCTCGAAGACTTGCCGAACTCAGTCACCAGGAGTGGTTTCCCAAGCACTGATTTGGAGTCTAGGATATGGGCTTGGATCCACCTATCCACAAAATTAGCTTGGGCTTGATCATTTGAACCAGGCATCCTGCCATCCCGTGCGCACATCAAACCAATATTATTAAGGTGAGTCTAATGCCCGTATAGTGAATAGAGTAAAATATCACAATGAGTTTCACGTCATTTCTCAAATGCTACGCCCAGTTATTATTTATTAGGTCCACACATGGTATGAGTTTTTTTTATTCTTTTTTGGTATCTGGTAAGTAGAATTTAACTGTTTATCTTTTTTTTATGCAACGTGCAATGTTTTTCTTTCCAGACTAGAAGTTACAAACCATTGGTCCGGGTAGAGATGAATTGTAGCAAAATCGACTCCAGGGATCCAATTATTGGAAATGAAGTCCGTCCCAACTTGGTAGCCTGGATTGTATTGTTTCTTTTCGGGCATCGATTCCCCATAAAATCCTTCAAGCCCAACTTCCAGAAGATGATTTTTATCATAGGATTTAACTTCGGCCGTCATTTCTACAATCCACTCCTGTAAAAAATCAAGTATGTCATGACTAAATCCCAAACAATCAGCAGGTGTGGTGCAAAAGATATATTTATGAGCCTTGGAAGTCGGCAATGTCGTGCTGGATGATTTTTATGACAAAAAACATTTTGAACAAAAGAATCTAGATTCTATTGCATTATGTGAACAACGTTTAAAGTTAAAAAATTATCTTGTAAAAGAACATACAAAATAACATATCAAATCTTTCGCAGACCTTACTCAATTTACATTGAAAGACAGACAAATGGTATGGCGAGAAGGTGATTCATCAAATTTTCACATTAGTCATTGCTCTCGAACTTGCATGCAATTTTTTTTTGATAGGGCGCATTAAATGGAGTCTTGGAACTCTTATAATCCTCTTTGTAACATTATTTTTTATTTGCTTGGGACGAGTTGGAAGTCCCCTTCTCAAAGAAATAGTAGTACTTCGCATAGTTCATGCCATGTCAATATCAAACAAATTTAAAGAGGATGCCTTCTCTTCATCGTCGAAACACATGGATCTCAATGTAACTCGAGCTAAATTTTATGATTTGGGTGCAAGCGTGTGTGCCAAACAGTGGCGAAGCCACATTGAAGGGTGTGGGGGCAGTTGCCNAAATTTTATGATTTGGGTGCAAGCGTGTGTGCCAAACAGTGGCGAAGCCACATTGAAGGGTGTGGGGGCAGTTGCCACCGCTGACTCTTGAATTAACATGCAACATATTTTATTAGAGAGATTACATATCTATTAAAATTAATACATTGTCCCCCCTAATTTTTTGATAATTAGAATGGCAGCCCCAGGTCTTTTTTTTCCTTCAATATGTTAATAGTCCACATGTTTTGCTTTTGAACCGATTTACAACGAAAGTTGTATGCCATATCTATTTATCGATTGAACACAATACTTCTCCACTTTTTAACACGTTCTCTTTACTTTTCAAGGATTAAACATATGCTTGACCTAATTATGTGTGAAGTTATGTAATTTCAATGAAGATAATTTACGAGGTGCAATTAAAATAATATTATTGCACCATATTAGCCGTCACATCATTAGGTCATCAAATTAAATTAATTATTTAGGTTCTAAAGTATTTCTCTTTATATTTTAGTAAATAAGTGAGATTTTTTCATCAAGTGGTAAAATTCTTCCATACAATTTGATGTCATGACTCTATCTTCAGTTTCTCGTTAGACATAATCCTACATTGTGTGCATGTGTCCCAAATATAAATTAAAATCATATTTAAAGTTCTATATTCTAATTTTATAATTATAGTTTGAACTTACATATCTGTTAGAGTATGTGTGGCTCATATTTTACTATGTGCATAATGGCAAGGAGGCAGTTGCCGGAGTGGGCGGAGCGTAGCGGAGTGGAGCGAAGCGGAACGTAGCGGAGCAGATGTAGGCACATTGCCTACATAAGATGTAACCCTACTTCAATAATGTAATAGAACGGCCGCTCGCTCTCGTGGATGTAGGCACATTGCCGAACCACGTAAATCTTTGTGTGTTATTTTCTCCTGCTTTCTTAATTGTTTGATTCCTTACTATTCACCATAATTGCTACACGATCACAACAATATCCTAAGATTGAAACCAAATATTGACAGATCACTATGTTTGCGATAAAATTAAATAGTTTTAGCATTATTATTTTAGTTTAATAATGAGTTAGAAGTTGCCCCCACTACATAAGTCTTGGCTCCTACCCTCGGTACGAAACAAAGTCAATGTTGTGACCGTGTGTGTTATTCAAAAAGAAGATTTGAGATGGACGGGGTGGGGTATTTGGATATCTAAACACATAATTTAAATGTGAAAATTTGTCCTTTAAAAAATGAAATATTGAATGAATTAATCTTTAATCAAGAAATTTAGTATTCTTCTTTTTGTTTTAGACCTACAGGTCTATTTGAGTGAGATGGTTTACACAAATTTGAGGGAATGAAAGTTACTGATTCGAATCTCATATCTATCAATTGAAATGATAGTTAAAAAATATTTAAAAAGTATCTTGTTTCCATGTAGTGAAGATATTAATCTTTGCCCAAGTTTATGAGAGAAGTAATATTATTTAAATCTAAAAATCTGATATAATTTAGACGGGAAAGAACCTGAATAGCTCGTCCAGATAGGTCACTTTGGCAACGAGGCTCGTTCATTAGCTCCCATGCAAAAATGGTGGGATCATCTTTATATGGCACCCCAGTTATCGAGTTGACTCTTGTGAGCATGGCCTGCATCCCNCAAAAATGGTGGGATCATCTTTATATGGCACCCCAGTTATCGAGTTGACTCTTGTGAGCATGGCCTGCATCCCAATGTCCGCATCAATTTTTTGATATAATTTAAGACAAAATTAAAAGTATCATATGTGAACTGCAAGTTCGTAACAAATTGCAACTGCGAGACTTAACTGTATAATACATTTATATAAGAAATCACTGCCTCTTGTGCTCCTTCTGGTAAAGATAATTAAGAGAAAGATAACGCACTAAAAGAAAACTGATGTTCCCCCTCCCCTTCCCCTTCTCCTCCCAAAAAAAAAACAAAAAGAAAACTGATGTGACTTAAATTCAGACATATGTCATTCTTCCTAAGCATTAAAAAGATAATAAAATAGAGGAGATACGTGATATTTACCTTCACATGATTTTTGTAGTACCCTTTAACAACCCTAAACCCTAAACACTAAACCCTAAACCCTAAAACCCTAAACCCTAAACCCTAAAACCCTAAACCCTAAACCCTAAACCCCTAAACCCTAAACCCTAAACCCTAAACCCTAGACCCTACACCCTACACCCTAGATCCTACACCCTACACCCTAGACCCTACACTCTACACCCTACACCCTACACCCTACACCCTACACCCTACACCCTAAAACCCTAAAACCCTAAATCCTAAACCCTAAACCCTAAAACACTAAAACCCTAACCCCTAAACCCTAACCCCTAAACCCTAAACCCTAAACCCTTTTTTTTTTTTTTTTTGGTAAAATAGAGAGTTTTATTTATTGAATGCAAAAATTACAAGAAGCAAAGCAGTCACTGTTTTTAAAATAAAACAATGACTGTGGAAACATTTATCAAAAAACTATACAAGGGTAAAAAGGTAATTCTATATGTATTCCCTTTGTGCAGCTTTCTCTTCCTCCTGCTGAAACCTCTTCCCAATTCAAGGCAGTAACAAACCAGCTGAACCACACCAGAGTGCTTTAGCTGATTTGCTTCCAGCTGAAACACTCAAAAACCTCCATCATAACCCCATATGTAATCCTTTCCTGTGTACTACCAATGGTTAGCTGAATTTCCTACATCCTGCTGAGAGAAATCAATGAAGCAGCTTGCTTTAAATGCTAGTAGAACAGCAGCAGCAGAGCAGAGAATTGCGCTGATCATCAGCCTATACCCTGTCTTTGCTCAAAAATCATTCTTTTCATTCTAACAGTAGATAATCCACTCTGATCTTGCTGTAGAATAGCCCTTCCAGCTTTAGGTATCCCAGTGCCATCTGTGAATTCAGTATCTCTTCTGTTCTGGACAGCAAAGGAAGCTAAAAAATCAGCAAGGCCATTAGCTTCCCTATAAATGTGATGTATTTGTAAATTCAACATTCCAATCAACAAATTAATTCTCTCCAGCAAATGTTACATTTTCCATGGGACTACAGCTAATCCATTCACCATTTGAACAAGAGTGAGAGAATCAGATTCCACAATGATCTGAAATNTGCATTTTCCATGGGATTGCAGCTAATCCATTCACCATTTGAACAAGAGTGAGAGAATCAGATTCCACAATGATCTGAAATGCTGACAAGCCATGCTGTATAATCATCAATAAACCATCAAACATTGCCTTGCACTCAGCTAGCATATTTGAACCCAGTCCATAATAGAGAGCAGCAGCTAAGATAACATCCCCTTCATGATTCCTCACCACTATACCACCACCTGACATTCCAGACTTACTTTTAGAGGCACCATCAACATTAAGTTTCAATACATTTGCAGGAGGAATTCCCCATTTAATCCATTTAACCTTAGTGATTAAGGTAAAAGGATTTTTAATTTTCAACTCTTTCAAGAATGCCCTTCCCTTACAGTCATCCTCAGTTTCAGGCCTTATAAGAAAAGCCTGCCATCTCAAAGCACTCACAACTTGTAAGAAAATAGCATGAGCAGTCAAACTCACCCCATCATACTTCCTCCTACATCTCTCCTTCCACAAGGCCCAAAAAATCAACATAGATACTCCCCTTGTCAAACTATGACTGAGTGAAGGGGCTTTAAACCTTCTCATCAATCTCAGAAACCTACACAGAGGAGATTCTCCTAACAGAACATCAAACCCCAGTTCCACAGCAACTTTCCTCCAAACAGCTTCCTCAGCCCTGCCACACAGTACACACTTACTAGCCATAGCTACACCCACTCCTTGTATTCTATCATCAGTAGTCAAAGCCTNTCGAGCCACAATATAGTCAATGAATAGATGGGAGACATTTTCCTCAGCCCTGCCACACAGTACACACTTACTAGCCATAGCTACACCCACTCCTTGTATTCTATCATCAGTAGTCAAAGCCTTTCTGAAAATTTTCCAAGTGCACAACTGAGCACTAGGGAAAATTTTCTGTTTCCAAATACATTTAGCTATTTCATTTTGGATCCCTTTTTCCCTAATTTGACTCCAGGCAGATTTAACAGTAAAACAGCCTGAATTAGTGTGCCTCCAAACAAGTTTATCTGAACTCTCAGATCTTATAAAGGTCATACTCTCAATCTCAGAACAAATCTGAGGGTTAAGCCATTCAGCTACTTCATCCAGCCTCCATTCCACACCATTCCATACCTCATTAATTCTGGGAAAAATCAAGGGAGGTATCCTAGTTCTCAGAATCAGAGGACTACTATCCATCCATGAGTCACACCAAAAATCAGTACACTAGCCATTTCCAATAATTTTCAATGAATTCTGAATGGTAAATTTAAACCAAGGCCTCAATATTTTGAAGGATTGACCAGCTCTTGTATTTCCACATCTTAGCATGTGTTTCCCCTGAAGAAACTTTTCTTTAAATACTTTGGCCCACAAAGAAGATCCATTTAATATTCCCCATACTTGTTTGATTCTAAATGTTGCTTGAACATCATCAAAACTTCTAATCCCCAAGCCACCTTCTAATTTGGGTTTTGAAATGTTCTTCAATGATACCCAATGCCTTCTCTTAGAGTCCATCTGACTAGACCAAATAAAGTCAGCAATCAGAGAATTCAGCTTATTCAGA